GTACTAGATATTCTGAAAACTTTTAAAGGTTGTGCTGAATGACTATTCAGGCTGAATAGAATTAATGAATCTTAGCAATACTCATTTTATTAAAGCCTTGTTTGTAATGAAGGAATACATATAATAACAATATAATGGATGTTCTGAGTAAAAGATTTAAAGTCAATATGAATTTGTCACTGACTAAATAAATACATAATATTTTTTAGTGTACCTAACATTCTTTATAATTTAACTATAGGCAATAAGTGACATATCTGTTCATTTCCATATTTTTTTGCCAGTCTTTAGAATACACTGGTTATAACTTAGGGATCACATCAGATATATCTTCAATAACAATGAACTTTAATTTGCAGATTTCTTAAGTAAATGATGCATTATAAGTATACATATTCAGAAATATTGGGGGTTATTTGATATGACTGTGTACGTAATGTATAATCATTGTCTTTATAGGTTAGTACTTTCACAGGAGATAATGGTCCCACCTGGAAACAAATCTTGAATTCAAGTGCTCTTTGTTCTTATCACTCTGCTATTAAATAATAAGCAAAGTATCTAAAAAAGAATATTATATAAGAAGAATTACTGGACTTGATTCTGTTCTCAGATGTTCAAATTCATATTGACTTTAAATCTTTTACTCAGAACATATATTGTTATTATATCTATCTCTTCATTACAAACGAGACAAAGTAATTATGCAGAATATTAGCATATTTGTGCATAGTGAAATGAATTCTGGATAACTCTGAGCTCTTACAAGAAAATAAAAATAAACTGATATTCAATCAGATGCCACAAGGGATGTTCTTTTATTTTACTGCTAACTTCAGGATCATAATGTTCAGGTGCAGATATAAGGAAATTTACAAACCCCACACTTTACAATGTTTTTTTCTATCTGAGATTCTACTGATTCAGAGTGGAATCTTAATTACAATTTATATTTGGAGTTAGGCAACACATCCTGGTATGCACTTCTAGTTTTATGTATTTATTTGCAAAAAACATTGAGTCTCCTAGCAAATAACTTGTCCACACTTAAAGATCATAAATACATTTGAATATATGCTGATCTTGAGACAGGACCCCAATAAATCGAATATGGAAATAGCTACCCAAACAGTAAATATGGAAAATATTAAAGTGTATTTCTATGTAAATAATAATAATAATAAAAGCTCACACTTACGTAGTTTACCATGTGTTCTACAAGTATCAATTTATTTAATTCTCAATTTTCATAAGAACCTTTCCTCTTAAAGATGAAATTGACTCACATCAAGTGTTAGTAAGGGACTCATTGTCATGCAGCTACTAAAGGGTGGGACCAGAATTCCAATCCCAGCACTCTATTTCCAGAACCCACACTCTATAGGGAGGGCACTGCCTCTCATAAAATAGGAGTGATCCTCTGGGGAGAGAGAGGGTAGTGGAGAGAGACGGGGAATATTGCAGGAGCAAATTCCCGAAGAATGAGAAGAGCGTGTTGGAGCCAGTGTGTGAATGGAAAGACTAAGTCCTTAGAAATGAGAACAGTTGCCCTGCCCGGTTTGGCTCAGCAGTTGGAGCATCCACCCATGGACCGGAGAGACTCGGGTTCAGTTCCTGCTAAGGGCATGGACCTCAGTTGCAGTTTGTCCCCAGCCCCAGTTGGGGTTGTATGGGTGGCAGCCACTCGATGTTTCTCTCTTTCTCTTCCTCCCTTTCTCCCTCCCACTCTACTGGAAGATAAATGCAAAAAATGTCCTCGGGTAAGGATAAAAAAATGAGAACAGTTTATTTGATGGACTGTAGATGAAGGGAAGTTATTCATCTTTGTGATGTCTCTCTTCTAATTTTGTTTTTATTTTCCTCTGAGTGTAACAAGAGTCAGGAGTGAAGTAGAGAGGGCTAGTGTTGAATGCTAACAAGATAGGAGTGTTATAAAATATATGCAGAATAATGGCCCTATTTCTTCCACTTCCCACCACAGATCTTGAAAAGGATATCTCCTAAATCAGGTGGCTCTTAAATTTGGGACCTTGGTCACTCCTCACCACAGAGCTTAAATGATAACCATCTTTTCTATGGTTACTTAGTTAGTTAGTGATCCAGGAATTCTCTTCTTCATGAGGCTTGAGCTCCTTTGCGTGGCCAAATTTCATGAAAATAGAGGAATGTCTTTTCTCTAAAACTCTTATTAAGGACATATGGAAATTAAAACAAGGTTTTATGGTGGCAAATGGGTAAATGGGAGCATTTCATGTGCCTCGTTAAAACAAAATACCACGATTGAAAAAGAATGAACCTTTAAACCCAATTGTCTGAGACCTCACCCCAAGAAGTTTTATTTTCCTACAGATTAAACATGTCTTTTTATTTTCTTGGAAAGAGAGCTGCTTGTAAAAGTGTTTTATGTACAGTTTAAGTGCCATTACTTCAGTGTCAAGGAAAATGTGCATTACTTTGTGAGTGTTCTCAGTGTCTTTCCTTCTTATTCTCTATCAAGACAGGTCTTCAGCTGCTGGTCCATTAATGCCTAAGATGTACAAATATATAAACACATGCACTATGAATTTGTTTAAAATTTGGCAATAAGGCAATCATCCCCTCTGCTACTCATATTTTCAGTTGTAGCCAAGCATCCTTGACCTAGGTAGGCTCTTCCTAGATCAACGCAACCATTTTGAGAAATATAAGATACCCAACATTTTGCTTTACTTGTCTAACTGTAGATAACCAACTATATTTAACCAGTGACTAGTTTTCTCAAAAGTGTTCTAAAAGCCATTTGACTCTTTTTGTGTCTGCTAGGGATTTTCAGCAAAACCAGTTAATCAGTGCATGCTTGTGAGCTTAGAAATAAAAGTGATATGCCTGCACTCTCATGACCTCTCTCCTTCATATACACTACCACCAGACTCACCATACCTTGCTTGATTGTTGGGGGCCAATCATTGACTTCAACTTTCTTCTGTCTTGTCTCTTGCTAATTTCCTGTCAGTGCCATTCTCATAGCTCAGCTTCTGTTCTTTCGCCTAACATCTCTACTTTTCTTTTTTTATCCTTACCTAAGGTTATATTTTTTACTAATTTTTTAAGAGAGAGAGAGAGAAACATTGATATGAGAGAGAAACATCGATTGGTTGCCTCCTGTACACGCTTGGACTGGGGATCAAACCCGAAATCTGCAATCTTTTTGTATGCGGATGATGCTTCACCCAACTGAGTCATTGGCCAGGGCTAACATCTCTACTTTTGAGAAAAAGTTTAAGTTTTCACATTTCTACACTGACCTATTAGAATGTATACATAAGCAATATTAAAACAATAAATTTTTTAAAATTTTATTTTGCAACTATTAAAAATGGTGATGAAGATTTACACCTATTTCTGTAGAAAGATGTATGCAATGTAAAGAAACAAAAGTATATTATTACAAAGTATATAGAGTAAGATCCCATTTTGTATAAAAATGTCTTTATGTTGTTCAGAAAAAATAGAATCAAAATATAAACTGATTATCTCTGGTAGCATGGTGATAATCCAAATCCCTTTGAACTTTATTCATCAATAAAAGTATTTCACTTGTTTAACATAAAGCATGGGGTGGGGCAAGAAATAGTTTTTCTTTCCATATGGCCCTTCATCTTATAGAATTTTAAGACATCCATGCATTTGTGTGTGAGATGCTTTTAGCTCTCATTATTCTGTTTATTCAATTTAGTATGATGGCCATGCACCATACCTACTTACTATCTCTGTAAATTTATATAAGTCACTTAAACCTGTCTGTGTCTCAATTTTCTAACCTATAAAATGAGATAATAATAATACCCACATCAAAGGGTTGATTTGAGAATTAGTAAATGTGAAAAACTTAGAACAATGACCTAAACACAGTAACTCTTTTTGTTTTTCTTTATTCTTATGTATTTAACCCCAATGATATGTTAAACAATATGGTAGAACCTGAAACTAGAACAGAGAAGACTATAAAATCAATACCTGTTCACAGTTTAGAGGGAAGAACAAACAAATAGACAATTACAACAGATACGCTTATTAACATAAAGCGAATATATAGAATGTTATTGGAATGTTTAAGAAGGACATCTAACATAAAGCAGAAGCCTTCATCAAATGTAATATCATGAAGAAGGATGAATCATTTTGGGGAGGAGGAGTTTTAATTACCTGGGCCAGAATCCAAAGCCAGAGGGTAATAATGCTGGCTTCAAACTTTTCTAGCTGCAGTCCAACATACTGTGAGCTTGAACTTCAAATTCTGCTTTAGACATCTTAGTTCCAGCCACTTCTAGTATTCTATGTAATAGAGATCTTAACTGTTCCCTCTTCTAGGAGCTATAAAGAAATTATAATTATTTTTAATAAAAAAAAAAAACCTCTGAAAACTCATTTATAAAACCTCCTTTGAGAATGGGATGATTAATCTTTGAATAAATAACTTTTTAAACCAAAGGACAAAAAGACAAATCTTATAAAAAGTTAATCTGTAAATGCTAGGCTCTGGCTTTTATTGTTTAGTTATTAGACTTCTCTTTAATTTTTTTTTTTTTCAGATGGAAACCTTTACATGAAAAGGAGATAGAAAAGGCACAACTAATCTCTGTATGTACTGAGATAACATTTAATGGTTTAATTAAGATGCAGAGGAAGTAAATGGTAGATATAAAACCTTACTATCCTGGGGTATAACCAACAGGTGAAGAAGATTGTGCTTTTATTTTGAACAAACAATACAAATAAAGGAAATCCTCTTTGATAAAGTGTGGTGTTGTCAGATTGGTATATTATCTGCAATAGGTATTATAACCCCTTTTCTTTGTAACTTCACTTTTTTATAGTTCACATCTAGTATACTTTTTGGTGTCATTTATAATTTTAGATATAGTAAAATGAACATTAGAGATTTTCCTTTGAAACTAATCAAGTAAAAATTATTTTAGTTATAGAGATATGAGAAAACAGCCCCTGACGCCTCCTCCCTCAGGGGAGAGGGCTAAGGTAGTCCCCCTACCCCAAATCACGCTGTCTAGGTTCCCACGTGCAGGAAATCCCAGGGGTCAGCACACCCGGAGTGCAATGGATAAGCCTCACCCTGGGAAAACCACCTTCGTGATCATGGTCTCTCCCCTGCCGAGTAAGGATAGCTGCTGACTTTTTAAATTTTTATTGTGATAAAAACACATAATATAAAGTTTATTATCTAAACTATTTTTAAGTGTACGGTTCGGTGATATTAAGTTTTTTTATATTGTTGTACAGCCGTCAGCAACATCCATCTCCAGAACTCTTTACATCCTGCAAAAACGAAGCTCTGTACTCATTAGGCAATAACTCTTCATTTCCTCCTCTCCCTAGTTTCTTGACTTTTAAAAAATGTGTTCTAAATGCTTTTTTAAAAATTTGAACTGCAATTTATTATATGTGCAACATAGTAAATGGTGATTGAATTCTCAAACTAGTCCACAAAAGCCTATTTATAGGTTAGCTCACAAGGCCCATTAAATAGATTAAGTAGACAAAGAGGCTTAGAAAGTATAACAGGCAGTAGGATGAACTTTGTGGTCAATAAATGATATTTAAACAAAAACTTTATTAGGTACAAGACGATTCTTAAACAAAATTTGAAAATGGGCAAAGTTTGGTTTTGGCATCTGTCTTGCCTTTTATTGCATTTATCTCTTATATTGGGGTGCTTTTCTGTCCGACTCCTAAGCTCTTACTTCCATGATACTATCCTAAGCCCCATATAAGTCTATATAATTTCCTGAAAGTCCCACACTTTCAAAGTACCTTCTTTTGGCAAATTTGGTTGCAGGTTTTCAAAATTGAAGTTGGGAGTGTTTAATATTAAAACAGGCTTGATGAATACTTGTGAATGACATTCTACAAGTCATTTTTCACATTCTAGAGCCCATGAGACTTCAGAGGTAGCATTATGCCACCAGTTAAAGTATAAAAGACAGAGTTCATCACACCATGCAAAATATTAAATAAAGAGCATTTGTAAGTACTAGTGATGAGATTCATTACAGCCTGGGTTCATTATCAGCCATTGTACAGATGCCTACTCTGTGGCTTACAGAGAAGCTGCTCTGTTATTAAACTTAAAACACATTAAATTCCATTTGCTACAGTTGGATCATAGTTATTGAGCTTTATAAATTCCCCTCTAGTCAGAATCTCAATTTGCATTCTCTATCCATTATGCTTTTTACATTGTATACTTCTTGAGGAACTTGAACCTGACATGGGGTAGGGATGAATTGTAAATTTTGGAGGAGGAAGGTGGCTGCAGATCCCTAGGCAGGAGATCATTCCTCTAAGCAACTATGGGTTGTCTGCATGCAGGACCTGCACCTAATGATCCTCCTTGTACAGGTGATCATTAGCTTCTCCCATATCCTGTCAGGAAAAGAAGGCAAATTGTTCTATAGGCCAATAGTCACCCAAATAATATTTTATTTCCTATTTAAGGTATCATATTCACTATTTCCTGGGAGAATTTCAACCTTTCTAGTACGTGGCCTCACCTAGCTCTGATTAGGCAATCTTTGACCTATGAGGTTGGTTTGCTGGAACACTGACAGCCATTTACTTTTGTGATGTAAACTCCACTTTTTGGTCAAGTTTGGATTGTGATTGTTTGTCCTGGGATCTCTGCCTGCATGTAAACTTGGGTGTGTGTGGGGGGGGGGGGGGGGGTGTTGGGAATGAAGGAAAGGAAAATGTGTCCTTCGATTTTTAAATGTTGAAGATTTGTGTGATCCCCAGCATTTCCTCAAGGTGATGGTGATGATCGTGGTTGGGATAGACTCATAAGAAAAAAGCTTTTTTTGGTCCAGTTATTCCATGAACTCCACTCAGTGCAGTTTGCCTGTTTTGAGCTCCTCTTCTGCAGCAGGAGAACCATTGCAGATCTCTGACCAGTGATTGAAGCTCAGTCCTTGCTGAAGGTCATTCCTCAACTGAACGTTACCATTTCTTGCTGGCTTAGACCTTTCAGCAAATGCCGTGGTTCTAGAAAGCAATCGTGTGACTTATTTTACAGCATACTTTGGTAATTAAATAACCACAAGTATTGTGGTCACAAACCTGTTCCATTTATTATAGTACACTATTTTAACAATATTTTAATTCTCAAAGGCTATTCTTATGTTGCCTATTATACTGAAGCAAACAATTTACTCTCATACATGGAAAATAAGAGTTAAATGTTTGAAAGACATATTTTTCAGTAACACTTTTTATTTCTATTTTTTTATTTTAATCATTGTTGCACTTGGTATAAAACTGTGCTAGCCCCACGTCAGTACATTTTACAGGTACAATGCCAAGAGAAGTTACCTTTTTCAGCTGAAAACATCGCCATGGGATAAAACTAAATAGGGGTTAAAGAAACAATATAAAAGTAAATCAGAACAGACACTTATAGGGAGGAAATAATATTTTTATTGAAGGGCCTACAGCAGCAGTAATGTTCAGAAATGAGAAAATGCCATCCTAAGGAAAACAGACAAATAATATAAGACACTTTGAAGGACCAAATACTCGTAATTCATAAATTTACTTCAATGTTATAAAGCCTTTTTAGCAAAAGACAGGTTATTATTTTTTTATACACTAAACCTGGTCTATATAAACAAAAGGAAATGGAATTATGTGATGAAGTTGATCAATTTAAGTCTCATATATCTTTACTTTCTATATATTAGTTTCTCTGTGTATTTGGTTACAAAATTATCTGGTATTTTTCTAGTTAATAATGAACATTGGTAAAGTCTTTGGTTTTAGATTATGACAGTATCTACTCAGGCCTAGTGAAAGAAGTTGATCTTTTCTGAGCATTCAATTATGCTGTTGTAATAATAGTCACTCAGTGGATTTACCTCTAAGAGAGATGGGTTAAGGGGAGGAATAAAAACCATTAAATAAAAAGATTCTGTTGCTACTATGTCCTATTTCAGTAACTGGAAATACTACTTCCAGAGTTATTTAACACATTTAACAGTGACCCATTCTATGAATGTTCTGGAATATTCAGGCAAAGCCTACAACACCTGTAGCCAAATAAGTTATACATTTAAGCCCTAATCTGGCTCTACATTTTGGTTGCATTCACCCAACAATTCACCAATTATTACTTTTATAAACTTTGGTTTATGCCCTGAAATGAATAGAAGGGTTGTGGGCTTAGCCTATCACCAGAAATAAGCCAATGATTATTCACAGTGAATTTAAGACAGTGTCCAGAGTTCAGTGCACAAGGAAAAGTACTGTTTGCCAAAGGGCACCTGAAAATTTCCTCTTTCGAGTCCCATTTCTCCCTGTAGGTTACTAGTTTGGTTTGGCCTCACCTAGTTGTACCCCAGGCCAACAGGTTTCATTTATTCTTTGAAACCAAGGCTCCAAAACTCTATTTATTCTAAAATTTCACAATCTGTTTTACTACGACACAAACCCTCTCTCTCAATTATATATATATATAATCTTTTTGCATTTCAAAAAATATACTTTATTAGGCCAATATACTCATTCCCCACTAAGGGTTAGGATGGGCAGAGAAGAGTAAGTGAAGGGTCCAGAGATCCATGGTCGACGTAGAGATGACTTTAGAAATCAACCTGCAGTTTTTAAATTGTTTTATTAAACAAGCCAGAAAAGAGAACACTGTGGCTATCATCTAGACGATAATGTCAATTTATTTGTAGTTTCCCTATGTTGGTTTTTACTTTTAAGGTATATTTTAAAGGATAGCTCTGTTAATAGACATCATTTTACTCTAACTTTGTTATATACACTTACATGCTGTATTACATACAAAACTGAATTTGCCCAATATCGACTTTACTGAGAGGAGTGCCTTACTTTTCCATACTTTAGGTATAGAAAAACATCTTGTCATTTCTGATTTTTCAATTTAAATGTGCATGAGCAAGAATATCCTCTTCTAAACATCTCACCAACAGGATTTTCTACTTGCAAATGGAATTTTAAAGGTTTGCTAATGTGATATACAGTTGGAACACTAGTTCTTGACAAATGGCCCATTTCCTACTATTCTGAGATTACGTCAGTAACCTTCGCTGATGGGAGTCACAAAGAAGCACTGAAAGAAATACGTTTAAACACTCAGAAGAATGTGGAAAGGTTTGGAGTTGAGGTTGGGAGGGCATATAATTAGCTGGACTGTAGGTTTCGGTTACTCTTGAGGTATTTGCGGAAATAGCATTATCTAAAAAAACATTTCACTGACTTTCAAAGAGAAACAAATTCTAAGATAGGAGAAATGAGCCGTATGCATCACCACCTCACCCGATGGAGAAGGATGCGATTACAGACAGGATGTTCAGAGGAGTAATTGTGGCAGTTCTAAGATCCTGGTTGTTAGCAAACTGGTTACTGAATACAAATCTCTATTTACAACTAGAGAATCACTGGCTCTCTAGGTATTTCTTAAAGCACAGAGTATGTATCCCTAATGCTGTATGAGGTATCAAGGGTTAGGCTGGGCCAAGGCATTAAAATTTGCCATATGCATTTGGAGAACTAGGGATAAGATATCTTGTTGTAATTCATATAAATTGTTATTGAAAAATACTCTGATGCCTCTTGTTGTCGTCAGTCCTTTAAAGACTGTTTAAATATCGTTTAGAGACAGGAGAGCATATGAATGTGAGGCTTCCAGGGTCCTTCCAACTCACAGCTGCTGTCAGTTGAAATCATTCGAGTAGCCCTGGCCAGTTTGGCTCAGGGGTTAGAGCGACGGCCTGCGATCCGGAGAGACCAGGGTTCGGTTCCCGCTAAGGGCAAGTACCTCGGCTGCAGTTTGTCCCTGGCCCTGGTTGGGTCGTGTGGGTGGCAACCACTCGATGTGTCCTTTTCATGTTGATGTTTCTCTCTCTCTCTCTCTCTCTCTCTCTCTCTCTCTCTCTCTCCCCTCCACTCTATCTGAACAAAATATCAAAAAATGTCCTCGAGTGAGGATTAAAAAAAAAAAAGAAATAATCGGAGTAAAAATAGTTACCATTTTGTGAGTTTTCAGTGTCATATTATACTAAAAATTGTATAAACCTTCTTATTTTTATCCTGGGAATAAACATTTTAATGAGAAAGGTGCTATTATCTCTATTTAACAGAGGAGG